TTCAGCAGTTCCTTGTCTCATCCTTTGCCTATTTATAGGCATACTAATCTAGTAAAAATAGTGTTAGTGATCTAAAAAAAATTCTAAAACTATTTGGGTAAATGTCTTATTAATCTATTCATGCGGTTGTCAATCACTGTTTATCAAGAATATTTCCTCTCTATTGTTTATGCCTAAATCTATGTCTAAATATGTGTATATAAGAGATTAATTGTGAGCATCGATTTTAGAATGTTGTCTAAATTCTTTAATTATTTAGCTTAACCAATGTTGGGTAATCAAATATGGATGTTTGGATTGTGGAAATTTTCGTAGTATAAAAAGATTTTGGCTTTAGCTAATAAGAAGTAAGAGGGCTTTGGGCCATTCAGTTGATTTTTCTATAAGAGGAATTGGATTGTTATAACTGATTAGATCATCTTTTGTTAAATAATTGGGCCTTAGTATTTTGGTATTTCAATATTTTGGGTGTTATTAGTTTTGGTTGAAAGTCACTGAGTTGGCCTATTTTTACAAAATAGATCATTATTTAAAATAGGTCCAACGATTTCCATGAATTCACGATTCTCTCACTAGGCATGAAACTTAGAAAAATGATTGTGAATACAATAGAATTCTTTTAAGCGCGCTCTAATTAAATTATCGTGGTTATGTACATATTCGCGTGATATGATTATGATTTTTATCATGAACCTTTGTAGTTTGCTTTAGGCTCTCTATACTAAAAATTATCATAGCTAGGGGTACGGTTCCCGTGACGTAGTTGTGATACATAATTTCCAAATTCGAGGGTACATTTATGTGACCCGGCCATAACTTTTAATAATGTTAATAAATTAAACATGTTGTAGATCGTGGGTATGGTTCCCGTGACACGATTCACGATGTGTACAAAATAAACAATTGTACAACAATTGTAACTTGTTCCGGAATAATTTCATAAATAATTAAATGAGGTTAAAGGTTAAAAATGCACAATAGGTAAGAATATATTATTAAAGATAATTAGGCCAATAATAATAGTTGAGCGATCATGCTAAAACCACGGAAGCCGAGAATGCCTAACACCTTCTCCCCGGTTAATAGAATTCCTTACCCGGATTTCTGATTTTTGTGGACTGTAAAATAGAGTCAAAATTGCTCGATTCGGGATTCTAAATCGGTGACTTGGGACACTATAAATTATCCCAAGTGGTGACTCTGAACATAAATATAAATAATCTCATTTCGATTATTATCACTTTAATTAGAAAAACTCCCCTATGCGCTTTCGGGTAGAAAAAGGGGATGTGATAGAGTGTTCATTAAATTTCTGGCCCTGCGGCCATTTTTTTGTGAAAATAGCAAACTTCTTGATTACATGGCCCGAAAAATATTCCTTGATTACTTGGCATAAGTATACATAGTTTTCATCGTTGAGAGTTTGAGTATTCTATGCGCACACGGTTCATTCGACCGTTTGACCTATTACATCATCTTCCTATCGAGACCCTCTTTGGCTTAGTTTGATCTCTCCGACAAGGCGATCTCTTGGGGGGATGCCCCCAGTATTCAAGGGTGTTTAGAGAGAAGCCTCAAATACTTGTTGAGTCCTCCTTAGGTAGCATATAGATGTAGCCTCATTAAAAACTTTGCCGGTAAAATTCTTTTTGGGATAAAATCCGATCGAAGGAAAAGAGTGCAATGCATACTTTTAGTTCCATAGTCATTGAGTTAGAGGATGTTTCGGTGTCTTCCATCAGACACCCTAGCAGTAAAAGCGTTTGAGCATTGATATGTTCCAATTGCTTGGAAGTTGCTCGCCTTCCATGGTACCGAGCTTGTAGGACCCTTTGCCAATCATCCGAGGATGCGGTACTATCCTTCCCAGCTTGGGCCTAGGTTCCCTTCATTAGGGTTTCAACTGTTATAGTACCTTTCGATTCTTTGTTTTTGGGCGGCCATTCGGACCAGTGAAGCTTCTCGCTATTCATATATTAGTTTGAGGGCTCTAGTCATGGCCTCGTTGTTTGAGCTCTCGGTGGCATGTCGAAATCTGGCGCTTGGTTGTCCAACCTCGACCAGTATCAAAGCCTCGGAGCCATACACTAGAGAGTAAGGCTTTTCTCCCGTGCTTGATTTTGGAGTTGTTTGATATGCCCATAACACCTCGGGCAACATTTCTCTCCACCTTCCTTTTGCATTTTCAAACTTCTTTTTCAAATTTTGAATAACAATCTTTTTTGTGGACTCAGCGTGACCATTTGCACATGGTTGGTAGGGTGTTGACAGGATCCTTTTGATTTTATGGTCCTCGAGGAACATTGTGACTTTGCTTCCGCTGAACTGCTTCCCATTATCACATGTTATCTCGGAGGGAATTCCAAATCAACACATTTTGAGTCCCAAATGAAGTTAATGACTTCTTTTTCTATTATCTTCTCAAAGTCCTGCGCTTCCACCCATTTTGAGAAGTATTCAGTCATAAATAAAATAAATCTAACTTTACCTGGTGTCGTTGGTAGGGGTCCGACGATGTCCATCCCCCACTTCATGAACGACCATAGCAATAAGACTGAATGTAGTTGTTCGGCGGGTTGGTGAATCATTGGGGAAAATCTCTGGCATTTGTAGCATTTTCGGACGAATTCTTTGGTGTTCTTCTCCATGCTATCCTAATAGTAGCCTGCTATGATCAACTTTCGGACTAAGGAATCGACACCAGAGTAATTTTCGCAGGTGCCCTCGTGGATTTTTTGGATCACGGAATCTGTGTCTCTCGGTCCCAAGCATACTGCTAGGGCCCATCAAAGGTTATTCTGTATAGAGTTTCGTTTTCGTCGAGTAAGAATCGGGCTACATTGGTTTCCAGGTCCTTCAATTCTTTTGGGTCTGCGGGTAGTTCCCACTATCCAAATAATCGATAGATTTATTTCTCCAGTCCCATGTATGGCTAGGGGAGTTCATCTTGTATGGCCTTCTTCGATCACCGATTTAGGTAGCTGAACAATAGCCCCGGGGAGTATGTCATCTTCCTTGACAGATGATCCCAGATTTGCGAGGGAATTGTCCTCACTATTCTGCTCTCGAGGTATATGCACCAGAGTCCATTCTTTGAAGCGGTGCAATGTGATTTGAATTTTGCCTAGGTATCTTTGCACCTTGTCTTCTTGAACCTCGAAGTTCTTATTTACCTGATTTACCACCAGAAGGGAATCACATTTTACTTCGATGACCTCTTCTCCTAGGCATTTGTCCAATTCTAGACCTGCAATCATAGCCTCATACTCGGCTTCATTGTTAGTCAACCTTGCAGTTTTTATAGATTGCCTAATCGTGCTGCCCATAGGTACCTTTAGAACTATGCCGAGTCTGGACACTTTCACATTCGAGGCACCCTCGATGAACAAGGTCTATACCCCCAAAGATATGTTCGTTTTTAGTAGAAGGTCTTTCTCTACCTCGGGCACGATGGCGGGCGTGAAGTTGGCCATAAAATCTGCTAGAATTTGTTACTTGATAGCCGTTCGAGGTTGATACTCGATATCGTACCCCCCAAGTTTGATGGCCCTATTGGCCAGTCGGCCTTAAACTCGGGCTTATGAAATATGCTTTGAAGAGGATATGTCGTTAAAACACAAATACGATGGCATTGAAAATAAGGCTTTAATTTTTAAGATGCGCTTATCAATGCAAGAGCTAATTTTTCTAGGTGCAGATACCTGGTTTCGGCATCTCCTAGGGTCCGACTTATATAATAAACAGGGAATTGCGTACCTTGTTCTTCTCGAACCAGCACACCACTTACCGCTACCTCAGATACGGCCAGGTACAAATACACTATTTCATCCTCCTTTGGGGTGTGGAGTAAAGGTGGGCTTGTCAGATATCGCTTCAACTCCTCTAAGGCACGTTGGCATTCCGAAGCCCATTCAAAGTTGTTTTTATTTTTGAGTAAGGATAAGAAATGATGACTCATGTCTGATAACCTCGATATGAATTGGCCCAGGGCTGCTATCTGCACGGTTCGCCATTGTACGACCTTCATATTGTTTGCCACCGTGATTTCTTCGATGGCTTTGATTTTGTCGGGGTTGATCTCAATTCCCCAATTTTACATCATGAAGCCTAAGAACTTGCCCGAACCCACTCCGAAGGCACATTTCTCGGGATTGAGATTCATGTTGTAGTTTCTGAGGATGTCAAATGTCTCCTGCAACTGGGTCAGATGGTCCTCTACGCGTAAGGACTTAACTATCATATCACCAATGTAAACATCCATGGATTTGCCTATTTGATGTTTGAACATCTTATTAACTAGGCGTTGGTACGTGGCTTCCGTATGTTTTTAGCCCGAAGGGCATCACATTGTAGCAGTACGTACCTTACTTCGTGATGAACAAAGTCTTTTACCTATCATCGGAGTTCATTTGAATTTTATTATACCCTGAGTAGGCGTCGAGAAAGGTGAGGATCTCGTGGCCGGCCGTGGCATCAATCAAGCAGTCGATGTTGGGAAACATGAATGATTCTTTGAGGCACGCTCTATTTAAGTCTTTATAGTCTACGCATATCCTTAACCTATTCCCCTTTTTGGGAACTACCACCACATTGTCCAACCATTCGAGATATTTTACCTCCATGATAGACCCTATTTTGAGGAGCTTTGCTACCTCGTCCTTGATGAACGCATGTTTTACCTTAGACTGAGGTCTCCTTTTTTGCTTCATCGATTTGAGCCGGGGGTCGACACTTAGTTGATGGGTGGTTATTTTCGGCGGGATCCCTTTCATATATAGATGTGACCAAGCAAAGCAATTGATGTTATTAATAAGAAATTGAATGAGTTTTCTCCTGAGTTCGGGGGGTAATCCTGTTTCTAGGTATACCTTCCGATCTGGGAGATGCTCGATCAAAAAAACTTTTTCCAGTTCTTCGATTGTTGATTTTGTTGCATCCGAGTCTTCGGGGTCAACAAAACGTCGAGGAGAGATGAAGTCTTCTTCATCGTCCTCGAGGTTCTATTTGCCCTCCGGCTCCTCTGAGGTGGAGGGTATAGAAGTTGGTGCCTCCCTGTGAACCGCGAACATCTCCTTTACCGCATGATGCTCTCCATATACCATTTTTATACCGTCTTTTTCTGGAAACTCCATCATCTTATGAAGAGTTGACGGTACTGCCCTCATATTGTGTATCCATGGCCATCCAAGAAACGCATTGTACCTCGTGTCACCTTCGATGATGTGAAAATTGGTATTTCGAACTATATCAGACATGGTGACCGAGAGGGTGATCTTCCCCTTTATTGCTTCGCCGGCCATGTTGAAGCCGTTAAGGACTTGGGAGGTAAGTATGATTTGATTGAGTAGTCCGAGCTGTTCTACCACCTTCATCCTGATTACGTTGGCCGAGCTACCTGGATCCACGAATACACGCATAATTTGAATGTTATTCAATAGAAATGAGATTACCAACACATCGATGTCAATGAGACAAGGTCTCGAAGTCCTTTTACTTGAATGCTAGTATATCCTCGGGCATGCGGCCCCGAATTTGCCCTTCTGTTGTAGCGGAAACTTTTGCGCACTTGATCACGGGTCCTCGAGGAACGTCAGTACCCCTAGTGATCATATGAACGATGTGCTGAGGTTTTCCCGTTCCATTCCTTCCCTGAGGGCCCGTGATCAAGTAGACAAAAATATTCGCCATAATAGAAGGGCCGATCTGAGACCGCATGGCCAAAGACACCCTCACATTCAGCGAAGATGATCTCGAGACCTTGCCAGAACCATAGAACGATGCGCTGGTAATCTCATTTCTTGTAAAAAACATTTAGGTTTAACATGTGCTCGTAGATCTAGGAAACTCAGCCAACGTAATCAGGTCAAGGGTAGTAGAATAACTTGGGGTGCTCGATCAGACCATACCTACCTCCCGGGTCTTCAACAGCTTCAACATGTCCGGCGAAGTAACAAAAGGAGAAATCACCCTTCCAGTCGATGCATCCAGTACGGTTCAGAACACCAAGTTTCAAGTCATCAATGGCGACATAAGGTATAATGCATTGCTTGGCAGGCCGTGGATACACTGCATGAGGGCAGTATCGTCAACTCTGGACCAGATGATTAAATTTCCGGCAAAGGATGGCATAACAACCATATATGGAGAATAGCATGCAACAAAAGAAATGTTTTCGGTTTACCAGGAGAAGTCGACCCTCGTACTCCCGACCTCGGATGTGTCTAGGAGCATACAGACCCCCGAGGACGACGAAGAAGATTTCCTCACTCCTCAAACTTTCGTTGCCCCCGAAGAGTCGGATGCAACAAAATCGATAATTGAAGATCTAGAGCAAGTTGTTTTGATCGAACACCTCCCTGGTGTTCATCGAAATCGAACGGGATTAAGCCCCGAACTGAGAAAAAAATTCATTCAATTTCTTATTGATAATATTGACTGTTTCGCTTGGTCCCACTTAGAGATGACAGGTATCCCGCCGAAAATAACCTCCCACTGACTGAGTGTCAACCTTAGGTTTAAAATGGTGAAGCAAAAAAGAAGACCCCAGTCCGAGATAAAACACGCATTCATCAAGGATAAGATAACAAAACTCCGTAAAATAGGTTCCATTAGAGAGGTAAAGTACCCCTAATGGCTAGCCAATGTAGTAGTGGTACCCAAAAAGGGAAATAAGCTAAGAGTGTGCGTAAATTATAAAGACATAAATAAGGTGTATCCCAAGGATTCATTCCCATTGCCTAACATCGATCGTCTGATCGATGCTACGGCCAGCCACGTGACCCTCACCTTTATCGATGCCTACTCGGGGTACAATCAAAATCAGATGAACCCCGAAGATAGGGAGAAGACTTTGTTCATCACAAAGTATGGTACCTACTGTTACAATGTAATGCCCTTCGGACTGAAAAACCCAAGGGCTAGCTACCAGCGTCTAGTTAATAAAATGTTTGAGAATCAAGTAGGTAAATTATGGAAGCTTATATTTACGATATGCTAGTTAAGTCCCTGTGTAAAGGACCATTTAACTCGTTTGCAAGAAACATTCGACATCCTCAGAAGTTACAACATGAAGCTCAACCCTGAGAAATCTACCTTTAGAGTGGGTTCAGGAAAATTTGTAGGCTTCATGGTATCAAATAGGGGGATTGAGATTAACCCCGATAAAATCAAGGTAATCAATGAAATCACAGTGGTAAACAATATAAAGGCCGTGCAACGGCTAACAAGGCAAATAGCGGCTCTGGGCAAATTCATATCAAGGTCATCCGACATGAGCCATCATTTCTTCTCTTTACTCAAAAGGAAAAACAACTTCGGATGGACTCCAGAACGCCAACATGCCAAAGGAGGATGAAACAATATATCTATACTTGGTCTTATCCGAGATATCGGTAAGCAGCGTGCTAGTTAGAGAAGAGCAAGGTACGTAATTCCCTGTTTATTATGTAAGCCGGACCCTACAGGATGCCAAAACTAGGTACCCACACTTTGAACAATTAGCTCTTGCATTCTAACAACATACCCCCTCCGGAGCATATTGCACAAACCCAAACTATTGAGTCGGTTGTCCAAATGGGCCATCGAACTCGAGGGGTATGATATAGAGTATCAACCTCGAACAGCCATTAAGTCCCAGATTCTGGTGGACTTCATGGCCAATTTCTCGCCCTCCCTCGTGCCCACGGTAGAAAAGGAAATTTTACTGAAATCAGGCACGTCTTTCGGGGTATGGACATTGTTCACTAACGGCACCACAAATATGAGAGGTTTCGGACTCGGTATAGTCCTAAAGCCACCTACGGATGGCGTGATCAGACGATCTATAAAAACTACAAAATTGACTAACAATGAAGCCAAGTACGAGGCTATAATTGCAGGTTTAGAACTTGCCAAAAGTATGGGAGCCGAGACCATCGAAGTAAAATGCGATTCACTCGTGGTAGTGAACTAGGTGAATGGGAGCTACGAGGTACGATAAGATAAGATGCAGAGGTATTTGGACAAAATCCAAGTTGCATTACGTCACTTTAAATAATGGACTTTAGTCCATGTACCTCAAGAGTAGAATAGCAAAGTCGATGCCCTCGCAAACTTGGGATCCTTTGTTGAAGAAGACGACCTGCTCCTTGGGGCTGTTATTCAGCTATCTAAATCAGTGATCGAAGAAGTCCATGCGGAGATTAATTCCACCAGCCTAACATAGGACTAGAGAAATAAATATATTGATTATCTAAAAGACAGAAAATTACCTGTGGATCCAAAGGAATCGATGGCCCTGCGAACCAATGCAACCCGGTTCTCGCTCGATAAAAACAAGACTCTATACAGAAGAACTTTCGATGGCCCCTAACATACTGTTAGGGGCTAGGGGATACAGATTATGTAATCCAAGAAATTCACGAGGGTACTTGGGGAAATCACTCAGGCGCCGATTCCTTGGTCCGAAAGATAAACAGGGTAGGCTACTACTAGGATAACATGGAAAAAGATAATAAGGAATTCACCCGAAAATGCGATAAATGCCAGAGATTTGCCCCTATGATTCATCAACCCAGCGAACAACTACATTTGGTCTTATCGCCATGGCCATTCATGAAATGGGGGATGGACATCGTTGGGCCCCTACCGATGGCACGAGGTAAAGCTAAATTCATTTTATTTATGACTGACTATTTCTCAAATGGGTGGAAGCACAAGCCTTCGAGAAGGTAAGAGAAAAAGAAGTCATTAACTTAATATGGGACCATACTATGTGCTAATTTGGGATTCCTTCCGAGATAACATGCAATAACGAGAGGCAGTTCATCGGGAGCAAGGTAACACATTTCCTCGAGGATAACAAAATCAAGAGAATCCTGTCGACGCCTTACCACCCATGTGCAAATAGCCAGGCTAAGTCCACAAATAAAACCATCATCCAAAACTTATAAAAGAAGCTGGAAAGCGCCAAGGGAAAGTGGAGAGAAATGTTACCCGATGTGCTATGGGCATACCAAACAACTTCAAAATCAAGCACAGGGGAAACACCTTTCTCTCTAGTGTACGACGCCAAGGCTTTGGTACCAGTAGAGATCGGGGAGCCGAGCGCCAGATTCCAACACACCACTTAGAGCTCGGACAATGAGCCATGACAACTGTCCTCGAACTACTAGATGAAAAACGAGAAGCCATGCTGGTCTGGATGGTCTCCCAAAAGCAAAGGATCGAAAGATATTATAACAGGAGAACATAACTACGACATTTCGGAATTGGGGGCTTGGTTCTAAAGAAAGTCACCCTTAACACCCGAAACCCTAATGAAGGAAAGCTAGGCCAAATTTGGGAAGCACCTGTACCGCATCCTCAAAGTAATCGGCAAAGGGTCTTACGCATTCGATACCATGGAGGGTGAACAACTTCCAATCAACTGGAACATATCAATGCTAAAACGATATTATTGGTTGGGCATCCGATTGAAAATTTCGAGAACACCCTCGAGCATGCATTGCACTCTTTTCCTTCTACCAGATTTTGTCCCTATAAGGGTTTTACTGGCAAGGCTTTTAACAAGGCAATGGCCATACAACACCTAAGGAGACTCAACAAGTATTCAAGATTTATTTTGCAATCCACATCGAACACTAGGGGCATTCCCCAGGAAGGTCACCTACCTGGGAAAGCCAAGATACCCCAAATAGGACCTCGATAGGAAAAGTAATGTACCGTGCCAAACGGCCAAATGAAACGTGCACATATAGAGCAACCAAGCTTTTAACAGAAAAAACGTGCATACTTGTACCAAGTAATCGAAGAACACTTTTCATCAAAGCATTTCACGCTTCAAAAGAAACCCAACGTTTTAGCGAAAAGGATTCCTCTGTCAAAAATGTCCCGAACACTCTGAGACTGGCATCAAAAATTTGACACCTGAACGACCCCCGGGTCGAAACTCCAAACTCATAAGCCCTCAACGAGGCAACATCAAGATCATAAAATATCTCCAAAACCAAAGGTGTCCCGAACACTCGGAGACTGATGCCAAAATCTAAAAGATCGCATGACCTCAGGGTCGAAATCGCCAAAATCATAATTCCTCAATGAGGCAATACCAAGTTTACAAGTAATGGCTCCCGAGTCAACAAACCCTCGACGACTCGGGGATTGCCGTCAAATGCCACCCCCATCAAATTATCAAAACTCGAGTTCGTACGACCACATGCAGGCATCCTCGATCTCGTAAGTCCTACATAAGGCAACAACAATATCTCTAAGACCTCAAGCAAGGCATGAACAATACTTGTACAAGGTATCTAAAACTGTAAGACCTCAAAGGAATGTAAAACTTGTAAGACCTCACTAAAGGCATAAACTCGATCTCAAAGTTTCGGCTATATATCGAACTTGTAAGATACATAAAAAGTCATACCCTCGATATAGA